CTTCCCACGTTTTTTTCACTCTTCTTCTGCTACCTGCCAAATTAGAATATAGGTGTGTAATGAAGGCATAGAGTTGCCAAGATAAAAAGTTTTAAAAGCATATATTTATGGTCTGTATTTTTATTTCAACATTATGTTAAAGGCCCTGACATTAGCCATCTAATTAATGTCATTTTTCTGTTATGCTGGAGGATTTCAGGGAGTGGTAAAAATCAAAGTCAAGTCAAAAGATACCCATGATTGTCCATATATACAAAAAGCTTCTGACAGTTCGATTGAATCCCAGTTCCAAACAATCAATGAGAAGACTCTTGATTACATTCTCTGGACAGAAAAGGGGCAGAACCAGATCACACCCACCCCGCTACAAAGCCCTCAGCATGCTTTAGCCATTATTCACTTACACTGCTTCTCCTGAAATCATTCTTCCCAGTCACTTCTCTCCCATGAGATGACAGCACAAGACTGGGAAGAAGGAAGCAGGCTCACTTCCCTAACCAAGAAAAGCATCACTTTCCCTAACCCAGGAAGTCTGTACTGTTATGTTGATCAATTCTTAGTTCTACCTTACATTCTTCCCCTTTTTAGGCTCACTTTTTCATTCTGCTAGCACTACAAATATTTTTTAACATCCTACAGCCTGAAAACCTTTCCAATTGTTCATTGTTTCCCTTTCCCTGAATTTCCAGCCATTGTTGATAATCTCTAGAATTTTACTATCTTCCTGTGTTCCAATCTCTGCTATCATGCAACCGATTTGTGAAGTTATGAATACCAAATTAGAGGAAATAGGTGAAAAACACAAAGTAGTAATGTTCATGAATGAGAGAAATGTGCAAGTAGCAAATCAATAACTATCAAGTTGGATGATGACATGAGTGAATGCAATAGCAGCAACAGTTTTGTGAATATTCATTAGGGAATAGCAGAGCACAAATTAAGTACTTTGAAATGGTCCTTACCCAAGAACAAACTATTTAGAGCAAGTTAGAACTATTAATTAGCTTGTTGCCATAAAGCAAGTTTTGAAGTAGATGAGCTTATTAGAGTAAGACTGCAGATGTCAAGATTGCAAGCTAGTGCGACCACACCAGACATTAAGTAAACAGAAGACTAGGAAACTACAACCACATGGAAACCAATCAGTGCCAAACACAAAACAGCTAATAACGGGAAGATAACAGAATATTGTCAAATTCAGAAGCTGGAAACATAAGTTAGAACACATGAAAAAGAAACAAGCACTAGTGAAACAATATCAGTGAACAGATTAAAAGAAAGATTATACAAGAAGAACTGTATGAGCTACAGCTGTATTTGAAAAACTAGTATCTGCAAGGCAAAATATTTTGGTATTAATGAAAACCAGAACAATTCAATGCTGGAATATGAAAAAAATCTGATTAAAAAATAGCAGAGATGAGCTAGCTGAGAGGAATATTAGGATTCAGAATTGCAAAACAGATAAAAACATCACAACAATACAAAAATCTTCTGTCGTTGCTGAACAATAGGAGTGAAAGATGAGCAAAAGCATCGAATTCCAAGCTCATTCTCAGACTCTGCACAGCTTCTACTTGTTCTCATATTTTGCTTTTCATTCTATTGCCCTGCACTATCTTTTCAAGATGGTCATCCTCCTTTCAACTTTCTTCAGGGACTCCAAAGGAGTCTCTTTTCCCCATCTTTCTCTTCTTTGTACCTCACCTATAGATGACTTAAATTACAAAACCAAAAAAAACCCACCAAAAAAACCTCAAATTTTCTTCAAACTTCAGGTTTACAACTCAATTTTTTTTCCTCACACATTACCATGTTTTTCTGACAAAATCAGAATCTCAGTAGATCTGACACCTTCACATGGGTGTTTAGCCATCAGCTTAAGTTTAGCACCAACCCAAGACAACTCACCATCCTGAATCCTTTCCTCCACATCTAGAAAACAGCATTTTCTGCCATCATACCCTTAACCACAGTGTTACTTTTCATTCAGGCAGATGTGATGGAACGAGAGAAATGACAAAATTGAAAGCCTGAAAAGTGTTACCTGCACAGCATTTACAAGATTCATCCTCTTCCCTCTGTGCACGGAACTGATGCTGTTGTCCAGTTCATCCTTATTGCTGTGGTCCAACTATTGCTCTATCTCCAGACTTGGCACATTCCATCTCAATTCAACAATTTCCTTTTAAAATATAACACTAAAGATCATTTTAGTATGATGTCCCAAAGACATGACCATTTTTCTGTTTATCTGCTTATCTTCCCCTACCTCCCCCACCCCAGATCACAAACTGCTAGTCTTCACCTTCAAGGCCTTTTTTGGTTTATTTCTGTCTTCATGTTCAATCAAAATATCAACTTTCATTTCACATATCATCACACTGAGATATTTTTTTCAAAATTTCATTGTAATCTCACTTAAAATGTCTCTTATGCATAGAAAAGCATAGTTTTTATTCAAAATTTCTCTTGAAGTTTTTGTTGAGAACAATGATTTGACAAATAGTTTGCTATTAAGATTATTTTACAACTATGATCAGTGATGTGCCATTATTTCTTTGCTGTCTTGCTCATGTGATGCCTACATTTTTAAAATAGCCTCAAGAGAGACTTCAACTACCTAAATACTACTGTAATACAAATAATATATAGTGGAAAAATATTAAATCTGATACACATAAAAATGGTTCTAAGTCAGTGACCACAATAAAGTTGAATTACATATATTTACACACATGCATACATACAATAATCAAGTCATACCAAAATGAAATCATTAAGTACAGCAACATTTGTATTTTTCCTTTAGACACTCCATTACTACATACAAGAAAATACACATAAAAGGAGAGAAAGGCATTTGTAGGTGTGCTTTAATTACTATTCTAGCTGTATCTTCAGCAGCACTATGGCAGTTTTTTCCAGTACATGACACCTTTTAACAAGCATTCCTCAAGCATAGCTGGAACACTAGTTAGTGTCTATGTGCAGGGCAAGTGTCTCCAGGACAGTAATGGGAAAGCTAGAGATAAACAATGGATGGGAACAATGCCACCAAGTATGTACTTCACAAGAATACAGAATCAAAACTCATTCTTCTCTCTCAAAAAATACACACATTTAATGTTGGTCTTTTAATTCTAAGAAAAAAAAAATTCCAAAATACAAACCGAACATCAGAGTCAAGTCAACCACCATAATAAAATGAAACAATGACATTCACAATAGTTAAGTCTGTGGACAGCCTAAGTTTGACAAGTATTTTCTCCCTCCCCACTCCCACCCCATCCCCCCCAAGTCCCCAAGTACATTCCAATATTTATCTTTAAATGAAACTTTATGAAAAATACTGCTGGTGTTCAGTTAGAGTTAAAGGACTTGGATAAAGTGAAACAATAAAGACAGATACAGGTGGTGTGAGTAAGGTTACAAAGGCTTTACATCTGGCATTATCCCAAGATATAAACATTCAAAAATTAACATGAAGTTGCTGTGTTATCAAAGTATTGCAGCAATAGGCAAGGCAACATTAAATTAATAGCTGAGGGTGTGAGGAAAAAACCGCACATTTTAGTGAAGGTAAACAGAAGTGGCAGTTTTTAATTAGCATTTTCATAAAGCTAGTATTACCCGGCCAGCCATAAATCAAGCACAGGATAAAAAGCTTTCTCTGTTTCCTTTGGCTATAAGGCGACAGGAAAAAAAAAACAACACAAAAACAAAAACCCCACAACTTAAAAAAGTCACCTTTTCAAGATGTTCAAGATGAGCAGAAAAAGTCAAATAATCAAGTAATGGAACAAATAAGTACTAAGCCAGGTAGTACAGTAGTACACTTTAAACCATTCTGTAATTTGTAAATGTTACATAATTTTATTTTGGTGGTAAACCTTAAACATGTAAGAAAACTAACCTTATGCAGTACAGCAAATAACCAAAGTAAGAATACTCTTCTGTTTACTCTTTGGCTAAAACCCCCTCAAAAGTAGCAGACAAAGAAAAAACATCTAATACTGGCAAGTTTTTTTTTTATACTTTTTTTAAACAGTAAAATAAACTTATCAATTTAAAACTTGGTACATTTTATAAAAACAAAAGAGGTAATGTTGTAATAAAATCAGTAACGTTACTTCAAATGGCAACAAACTGTTTGTTGACCCTGTGCAATAATACACTTTGTTCATACTACATTTATCAAAATATGACTGTTTCTACAGATATGTAGGAATCTTGTGTGTGACTCCTGTCAACTCAGTTTATAACTGGGACACAAAATTTACAATCAGTGTGTCACAATAACTTTCAAATTGTTATTTCTAGTGGAGTTAATTTCAAAATGTTCAGATCCTGTATTATTTTTAACAGTTAATTCACATGGAAAATAATGAAATATACTATCTAGAGCATATGAATATCAATGACTGCACCCATTGCCAGAACATGCTGCACTGGTTTGACACTTTTCCTTAGTACATAGAAAGCAACAGCACCCAATAAGCCTGAGAAGAAATGCTGCTGTGTAAATACAGGCAACTATTCCTGAAAAAAGAATTATGGGATGTATTCTCAGAAGCTGCCTGATCCCATAATTTGTATTGCATAGGTCACAATCACACATATATACACGCACAAGTATGTGTGTGCATATATACATATGTATATACGCACACACACGTGCACACGCACACACACAAGGAATATATTAAGACGACAATGGTCACGGAGCAATTTACAGGCTCAATATATTTTTTTCTTTTTTTTTTTTACACTTTGTTTGAAAGAAAACTTCAGTATTTTACAGTCTTCAGAAGGCATTATATACACTGCACTTATGAAATCTAGAAAGTATTGAAATAGAAATACATTTCTGCAAACATTTGGGTAAGAAAACAAACCAAAATTTTTCAAAGATTTGTGCTATCTACATAATATTTTCTCTAAATCACAATAACTGTATCCATGGAATGTTCTCTAGAAAATGTCTTTTTTCTTTTTTAAAACACCATGCACATTTTTAAGCAATTGTAACCCAAAATATCCCAACCTAAAACAATCTAACAATGTTCAGATTAAAAAATTTAAGTTTCAGATCAGATTTTAAAAAGATAAGTCTTTATCACAAGAGTTGTAATGATAACAATTACATGTTAAGGCTAAACTGGTTTTGTTTTGTTTTTAGAAACACATTTAAAGACACACTTCTCTCATGGCTCTGCATTATGAACTGTACTTACAGATGACAGTGCAGTGAACATAATGTTCAGTCCTACAGTCAGGATGCAGTTGCTCCTTCCCACTCCACAAGATACTGCACCTTTCCATCAAGTGTCACCCGACGAGCCAAAACACGGTATTTTTCCCCACAAGCTATTCTACCTGCTGCACCAAAATAACTAGTAATCGAGTTCTTCAGATGATTGAGCTGTAACTCCTGATCTGCTAAGTTGTTAAGTATCTCTGTATTAAGTTCATCATACTGGTAATCTTCCTTGCTCTCATCATCTTTTACAATTTCTGAATTTTGAGTCTGGAGTGCTTTTCGTGGAAAGCGACCTCTTCTTCTCAAATGTGGTATTGCAGCAGGCCAAGTTCTTCCTGTACGAGTCCTTTTTCTCGAGTCAGATAAGCTATTTAAAAAAAAAAAAAAAAATCAAAAACAAACTCAGCATTAACCCCAAGGAACTTATTCAAAACTTTGAAACGCTTTATCATCAGTTATTTCCATGAGACTCATAACTTCATTCTGTTTTTCACTGATAAAAATACTTGTTGCCTATAGATAGATGACTATAAACATGGCAGTTGCACAATAAAGATTATTTACACAAGGAAAATTGTACTAATTTAACCAAATGTCAGAAAAGTTATCTAAATTATATTAACTTATGCCTAAATATGTTAAGGGTAGTATTTTGATAGAGCTTAATGCCACTCAAGCAAAGTAAACTGTCTTCAGAGAAGTCTGCACCAAATGTGCTTACATTTGCAAATCAAAATATAGCTTTATCACACTGGTAGGCCTCAACTACAAAAGTTAAACTATAAAAGAGTTTGAGACTTGATGTTAGTTAAGACCGTCAATAAAAAAATTTATGCAGTTACTTTATCTCAATAAATTAAAACTCTGAAATATGAAAGAGTATATTGCAAAATCTATTCTACATCACTAATTTCTATAGTAGACATGATTTTCTAAAGATTTATTATATGTGGCCAGAAAAATATGTAAATCCGAAACTCACACAGATTTCTCTTTGGCAATGAAAAAAGAAGCTTCTGACATGATCCAAGAATAAACCATCATCTGAATATTAGAAGTGTCCAAGACACAAATCCTTATGTAAAAATGTACATCTATAATTTGCACACACTAAAACATTTTTTATAAAGTCCTAAATTAAATGGTACGTGAACTTTGATGTTCAAGACTCCTATGTAACATACAGAGGAAAAAAGTGCATCTTTTTAACATTAAAAAAAGAATGGAATAAAGGGCAGAAATACAACAATACAAGTGACATAAGTCCTTAAGTAACAATTTCAGAAGTCTGTAAGTTAAGTCTTGAAGACAGACTATTTGTAGCACTAATACACACAAAAATGACTCATGAAAGCACTTTATAGCATGAATCAGAAAAAGAGGAGACAAAATAAGCAGATTGAGGATCTACGTACCTCGAAATACAAATTTATGTTTGCTGAACTTGAGAGGGTAAAGTTTAAGCAACAATTTATTTGCAGAAAAGCTGACTGTAGTTAATAATTTATCTATGAACATTGTGCCAAAAATTTTTCATGATCTACTGACTGTATAAAATCATAGCGTACTTACTATTTTTAACATGAATACACAAACCCACAAAAACAAAAGCTGCTAAAATTAATTCAGGGTCCATATCAGCTCTTTTGTGGCCCTTATTAGAAAACTAAGATCAGGAAGTGTTTATGGAGTTTAATTCGTTTCAGTGAATGTAATTTAATTACATATTTTACATTAACAAAGAACAGCAGTTAGTGAGCACAAAAACCCCCTCGCTCTGTGTTGTAAGCAGAATAGACTAGTTTTCTTTTGTCCTATTTCTTTACATTTCCCCATGCAATTTTTAGCTCTACTCTGACTCTCAGTTGCTCATTACTCAAAATCCCAGTGAATTATATCCTCAGTCTTACAGCCCTCTACAATATCCTCAGTTCTTCTCTATTTTTTCACCCACCAGTTCTGCAATACCCTTACCTCCATTTCACATCTCCTACAGCTGCCTCATAATTTAAGTCAGCCTCCTACCTTAACTTCTATCTTTGTTTTGCCAAAGCTTCAACTGAAAAATAAAAAAACCCAAACACCAGCAAAACAACACAGGCAATGACTAGGCTAGAGATGATTAGAAAATTGTCTGCCTTTCTCTAAGTGTGGGTTGCTGGTTCTGGTCTCTCTCATCCAAGCATCTATCTTCATAAATCTTGTTAGACTCTAACTTCTTTGGAACTACCTGGATCAGATTTCATGGAAGTTAGCAAAAAGGTTCAGAACTGACTGGAAGTACAATAGAAACTCAGGTTTTAAGAAACCAGACTTAGAACATTACATGTCATGCTTCGGCAAGATATCTCTTGTAGGATCCCTGCAACTGCTGTTTATTAAGGGTGAAGTATTGCTGAACCAATTGTTTCTTATCCCTCCTTTCAGAGGAAAAAAAAAATAAAATTAAAATCTTAATCTTTATAGCAGATAGAATAACTGAATAATTACCTATAATGTCTGGAAATGCTAGATGAGGTAGTTTCTTTCATACTGGCAGCACCTGTGGATTCCACATCTGAGGTATTGGATGAATGTGCAGTTCCATCAGATTTCCTGATACGCAAGATAACAGGGTTGCCATGTAATGAAGATAATCTTATATTAAAAATTGAGCCAACATTTCAGAAGTAAACAGATAAATAACATGATATTATAACAATTAATATGGAATTTTTTTTATTATTTTTTTATTTTTAAATTTACCCAACAGTGCAGGGTAATTCCAAGGCTGGGTTCTCTATCACTGGAACTGGTTCATTATCCTAAGAGAAAAGAGGAAGAGAAGGAGAGAAAAAACAAAAACAACTTCAAATTATGTTTTAATTGCTGTATCAATTTTGTTTGAGGGTGAATAGGGGAATAACATGATTCTGATTAACTGGTTATGTTTTTCTTCAAAAATTATAACCCAACTAGAGGAAAAGGGGGAAAAAAAGTAAAATATCCAAAACCTTACCAGAGAAGACGACTCTGGAGTTTTGTGAATCATTTTTCTTGTATAGGGACCAGGTGGACGACCTACTGATTTTTTTTTTCCCTTTCTTTCTATACCATTACTTAATTCCCTAGAAGAAAATTTATATTTGTATCTGAATTATTGAAGATAACTTTCATTGAATACATGTTTTCCTTTGGCAATGAAAACACGATTAAATGTCTATGGCTAAAACATTATGCTAATTGAGGTTATTCTGGTAAATCAAAACTGTCAGGTACAAAGCTACATATTTTTGCCTTTAGAATAACATTAACTGATACAAGATCTTTCTAGTGACATTACTGTTTCCCTAATGTTGAAGAGGAATGAACAAGTGTTAAATAGTTTATTCTTATGATCACACTTGGTAAAAAAGATGGCACATTTACTAATACAAGTTACAACTTCACATCATACTTCCTATTTAGAATTCTAGTTAGATTATTGCATAAGAGCCCCAGAAAGGCACGAGATTTTATTTCCCAAATAGCAGTAAAGTTGGGATATTTTCTGGTTTTCTTACTGCTAAATTTAATGATTTGTTTGTTTGTTTTTTGTGGATTTTTTTTTGGTGTTTCTTGGAACAGACTACAGTTATTTTTTAAAATATATTATACAAAGAAAAGGCCTTATTTGTAGGCACCAAAAATATACCCAAAGTAGCCCCAATTTACCACAACATTGCTAGAATGACTGGGTTATTTTACCTCACATCAGGGATTGGTTTAGATGATTTTCTGCCTTTAATTTTGAACTCATGAGAAGTTCCTTCTGGTTCTTTCTCAGCCTTTAAAGCAGCATTTGGTGGCACAGGAGGAACACGAATTCTCAAGCCAAACAAATGCTTCTTTTTCTTTATTTCTTTTCCAGACATAAACCTAGATGATTTAAAATTAATTGTTAAAATTATGAACCCAGGGAAAGCAACTTTTAAAATAACAGTGTACATGCAAAACAAAGCTATTCAAATTAGAATAATCATTCTAATACTATTTTATTCCCCTCTTTCCCCTAGTGCAACCCTTACCCTCAAATACAGAATGTGAAATGGAAAGAGGATGGGAGTTAAAACATTTTTTTTTCCTCATGATCTAGGTTCAACTCAGTTATGTAGTGTTATAGTTTGACTTAGAAACAATATTTAAAATTTAATTTTATCTGCAGTCAAAAATATTATCAGATAAACTGAGCAAAGGAGACTGAAGACTGTAATCTACACCAGATTAAATAGGCAAACAACATTTAAAACAAAAAGTACCAATAACTTACATGGTCTTGTAATCATTTAATGCCTCCAGTACATGCTCATATCTTTCAGATTTTGGTGTATCTGCCAGCTGTGAAGTATTAAGAAATCATTTAACCTGTCAAATTCTTTAGTAATAGAAAGATTCCAGTTACTTTGAGTTACTGTAACTACAGATCTGGATGTGAAGTACATTTACGAAGTATTAGCTGTGGAAACTACCTAATCCCAAAGGATATTAATCATTATCCCGTATACTCTGTGATTTACATCCACAGAATTCACACCAGGTCCAAGCCCAGGCCAAAGAATTTTAGTGTACTCAAAGAACACAATACTAGCAATAACACTGCCAATAAGAATTCTTCTGTGGCATTATGTACTCCCAAATTAATTGGGATTGCAAACAGAAGATAACTATGACACAAAAACTTAGTTATTTCATTGGTTATCATTTTAATCAAAACCCTGGCACAGGACCCAATTCCCATTTTTGCCATTATTCAACATGATACAAAAAAAATGGAAGAGGCCCACAAAAGTTATTAGAGATAAAAAGAAAAAAAAAGAGAAAGAAATCAATTCTCATGCCACTTTTGTTAAGATCCAGTCTAACCTCCTTTCTTGCAAAGCCTGAAGTAACTAAACCCTATCAAGCTATCAGAACATGGAATCTTCTCTCTGAAAAATCGCATACTTATGAATTAGAGAGACACAAAGCAGAATATGTGTGGTGGTGACTATAAAGAAGCAGACACAACATTTATGTAATAGAATTTAAAAATAAGATTTATTTTTGTATTTAGACAGCTATTTTTAAATTCCAGTGAAGCTACTATATTTCTAGTTGCCATATCCAATTGACTCTGCAATAAATTTATCTTTAATTATAGAGCTGACAAACAGTTTACAAGTTTCACTATTAGCATGAATACTACAGAGCAGACTGTACATTTACAGCTCAAAAAACCCACCACCACCACCACCTTTGAGTACTTTATAAAGAATACAATTCTGACCAAACAGGACAGATAGAGATGTTAAAAGGATTAAATGTGCTAACAGCTAAATAAATGAGTAAATATACTCATAAAAACCAACCTTTTAACACAATTTTGGGCAAGATTCACAGTCAGTCTATCCGAATATCAAAGTAAAGGGAGGCATTCAACCTATTTTAGCCAAAGTAACAATTGTTTTTACACATCTTCACCACACACATTCAGTACAATCTACTGCAATACAGAGGTCTTGCAACTCTGCAGCACTTAACAGAAAATTGCCATATATTTATTACATCCTAAATAATAACATGCTAAAACTTACTGGCTTACGAGGTCTGGTAATTCCACTGTTTACCCCTATCTTACCTGTGCCTAAAAAACTTCTCCTCTTACTCAGTTATAAGCAGCTAAAGAAACCAAAGTGTCATTTCTAATAGTGGCAAGCTAGAATACTGCAAAAACCCTGAAACCATTATATCATAGATGTTATTCTTTCTGTGACTAGTTTGTTTCATAAAGAAATTAGATTAACAAAAGTAGTAAAATAATCTGTCTCAAATTTTTAAAGGCATATTTTTCCTAACTTAGTGAGAAACATTTAGAATCTTTTCAAAATGAAGTCTTGAAGATTTCCTCAACACAGTTTTTATACATTTATTCAAAATCTATCCCTTCTAAAATGCAGTCTTCAGACTTAAAACAAGTAGTTTTCTTTCAAGTGTAGAAATATTAAGGAGTTGAAAGTACTACTTAAAAAAGATGCAAGTTTCCTTCTTCTGGATCTCCCCTCTCCTTCCTCCCCCCCTTAGTTATGTTTTTCACATAGATTGAGCATGGATGGATTGAAAGCAGAAAGGGGGAAAAGCAGCACAAGGAGGACTGTAGCGTTTCTACTTGTTCAAAATGGCATGTGCGCTCCAAGTCAATGGCAGCTACATAGCTCCACTCTCCTCATCCACACCACAGCTGCTCTGACTAGCCATTGTTATATGAAATTATGTTAAATCTATAGAAAATTATATTATGTGAAATAAACAAACTTTAATTTCTTCCACATTTCCCTCAATACGAAGAGAAACAAAAGTCAAAATTAAATACTGCTTACGTATTTGTTATACTGCACAGTAAGACAGCCAGAACACTTCATTCTATTGAAAAGATGGTGTAAGAATTACATTTTGTGCAACTTTTTCATAATTAAAACTTGAGACTTGATATGACAGAATTATTGACATGATATGAGTTAGCTAAGAGATGCCATACATCCTAAAGTAAATTACGTGTCTATTCGTAATGACACTAATTGTTGTTTTTCAGTAATGCTTGAGTGTTTGCTTGTCTTTCTAACTAACTATTAACACTCATAGTCCAAACTAGGTATTTTAAACCTTTTCATAAATAACAGAAAATACAGTTACTCATTTAAACAACTAATATACATTTGATTCTCAAATTGTGTCTGCTAATAAAAGTGGATTACAGATGTATGCATTCACTGAGAAGTATAAAAGTAGGATGTACTCATGATCAGAACATTTCAAACCAGTTATATGATGCCTGTATTAAAAAACTTCAAAACCCCGAGCAATTATCATGCACAAAAAGAGTGCATCCTCTACTAGCAGTACATCAATTTGAATTTAGACATAAATTTTGCATCCAACCTTACATGCAGAAACAAATACCTACACTGCTCCTCTTACTTAAATATGAAATCAGTCTGCTTGGGGAAATGGATCACTGCCCAGTAAATCAAACAGCTGGAAAAATACCTAGTATAGTAGAGAACTAAAACCAAGATGCCTTTACAAGTGGCAGGAAAAGGACTGAAACAATCCTTAGATCTGGACACAAACTGATCACCCCTATGTTTGGAAGAGGGAGGAACAAGGAAATGTTTGTGTATGATAATTTGTTATGTGTTACACCTTGGAGACTTTGAAGATGTCTTCACATGCGATACACTCCGCATTCAGTTCTACATTTAGATTTTTCTGGTTGGTGCGCATGAAAACATCAAAGAACTATGAGATAATTACAAAATGAAAGAAAAGGAAGATAAATATATGCAACAGATTAATCAGTTTGGTATAAATAATTAAAATTGCCAGGCAAATAAAATAATAGCTACATGGACCACTTGAGATATTTTACATCTCAGAAAAATATACACCACTTAAAATCTTGTAATCCCAGTTAATGAGATGAGCATCTTTATTTCCTTACAGAAATAGAATTTTTTTTTAATGTAATAAAGGATTTAATATCCAGAACAAAACAGCTCATAGGTCACTAACTTCCAGGACATACGTATGCACTGTGAGGCAAAACATGAAAGTATTCCAATTACTTACTTCACCAGGATGCAATCTATCCCAGTTTTCATTAATGTAGGCCATGAGTTCAAGCTCCGAATCAAAGTATTTCTTCTTATGAATAACACTTAGGTTGTAAAGGCATAGATGTGCTATATCTACCCTAGAATTCAGAAATATTTGAATAAAAAACAAGAGAAAAAAAGTTGGGGTTTTTTTTCCCCCCAATTGCTTTGCTCTGAAATAATTTAGTAGAAAATATATTAGCACGATATAGAGGAACACAAAGCACAACTTAAAACACTAAATCCAGGGAACATTATGAAGTCTGTCATTTCTCCTCCTCAAGTGCCTCTTCCTTCTGCTTTGAATCTTATCTTTCATCCCTGCCTCATCTCGTTGTTATAAAGTTCTTTTAAACTCCGAAACTGGTCTAAACCATGGCATATTTAAGCAGGTCTGAATTCATACTTGAATGTATCAATTCTGAATTCATACCAGTATTTTGGTAAATTATTTAACAAAGTAGTTTCCATCATATGTTTGTTAGCACATATATCCGCTAAATTGGATAGCATTTCTAATATGGGTTAGTTCAAAGATTTCAAACTACAACAATTAAGACTCATCAATTAAACTATTATAAAATGTGTCTATTATAAGACGTGTATTCTTAATACTCACTCCATTTGGCTTATCTAATAGCAGGATCCTAAACCTGAAGAAAAGACTTTGTTCAGATATCTCAATCTTCACATATACAAGTGAGTAGCTGCTTGCGGCTTTACTGAGCAATCCCAGGAATAAATCCCAAGAACACACAACTGCAATATATCTCTACATTCAAGGATAAACTTTGAAGGAAAAAGTTGTCTCTGTTCATCCAAGCAGTAAGAACAACTCAGGAAACAACTCAAGACAGCAAGTGGATTTCCTTTTTTGCAAGGAGAATCAAAATACCAAAAAGCATGTATTCAACTCACTTGTTTGTTTTGTTTTTTTTTTTTCATTCCTACTTACCATCTTCAAGGTAAACGTTTGAGGTATTCCGGTCCAGAACTGCAAACTGAGCAAATGAATGTATAAAACCTAAAAATACATAAATAAGCATATGTACATATGTCTGAGTGGTGGGTGTCTGTACACACACACACACACACTCTCTCTCAATGTTTTAACATCCTAGTTATGAAATAACAAAAACAGGCGAGAAACCCAGCTATATAATATTTGAAAGTTCCTTTATCCTCCACTTTCTTTTATCAACTTCCACAACCTGTGCTGGTACCTACCGAGCCAGACACAATTTTCATCCTCAATTTTATCCTTGTGACACTGTTCCATACTCTCTTAAAGTTCCTCAACCTGTGACTGTACCAATGAATGTCCCCACTCCACTCCATGTGCACCAGCGTAAGCATGCATTTAAAGGACCCATGTGTTCCTGGGTCCTAATCCAGTTCCTTCACACAAATGTTCTATTGCACAACAAACGGGTGAAAGAAACTGTAATACATAATGAATAAGATACTGCTTGATTCCCTTCACCAGTTCTCTCTCATCTGCTCCAAGTTCCTCTTAAAATGCAAGCACCGACCAGTACTCTTTTTAATTTCCTTTTGTCCCGACTCATCACATGCTAACACAGGATGTACAGAGTTCCCCCAGTCTAATTATCCTTCCAGCTTTCTCCAGTGCACACACACACACTGACAGCCTACTTTGAAGCATGGTGCCTGTTGCATACAAGAAATTAAGTCACCTTTGCAATGTGAACTTGAAAACCCTGTAAGTTAGATGAAGCAGACCACTTTAGTGGGCCCATAAGTTAGTTATATAAACGGTTTACAAAGTAGTCTGCTGTAAAGCTTCCCATCACCCAGTAGCCAGCACCAATAGCGTAACAGACTTTCACACAAAGTGAAGTCAGTAACAGTCTGAATTTAACTATCCACTGGTTACCTTTACACCACCTACCACCCCACCCTCCTTCATTAAACTGAGATGAAGAACTGCATTTTCCTGGCACCTGACCACATGCTTTATTTCATATAGTCTTCTACACAAAACTCACCCTGCTTTTGTTTTATTATGAATGCTTTAATAAAAGCTTGTATGTGAGATTCTCTCCACATTTTAAATAAAGACAACCATAAAGTACAGCTTAGGGTTCTTACCTGTCACCAAAAAGCATTGGCTTTTGGAGGCACTGCACACAAGCCTCGTGAAACCACTGCTTACATTTGCAGCACTGCAACATCTTTAGATACCAGCTTCATCAACAGAAAGAAAAACAAGATGCGTTAAAAGAGTTACCAAAAATTATTGTTCTTCGTGTTTAAATTAAATAGAAAGATCTCACCCAAACTGATTTTCACAGTTTATACAACAGTCATCTATAGGGATATTTCAGTAACAGAGTTCCATAGTGAATCACTACTAGAAGAGTGACTAAGAATAATCAAAGATAGTCTAGTAAAAGGCTGAATTAAGTTATTAGATGAAGAAAATAGAAACTTAATTTCCTCTGACAACCACCTTTTAATTCTCAATAATAAGAATTCAGTAACTCCATACAAGCTCCTGCTCACATACCAGATTAGCTTCCTTGTTATTTTCCAAAGCACAGTTGCATTAATCCACAAACATTTGTTCTAAGGATTCAACTACTTGAATCCTAAAAATAAGCCTCATAGTTTATGCTTTTTTCTTTTCATTTTTCAGCTTCTCCCTTGAGAAAGGGAACCATGCAAAACTGAAGGCAATGTTTGTCCAAGTCTGCAAAATTCTCAAACCAGAGCTCTGTGCTGTAAGTATAAACTCAAAAGCTTTGCTTCTTTGTGGGACTCTTGACTTGCCTCAACTTCAAATCTTCCATGCTATTTCATTCATTCACTCATCCATGCAGACACCAGAGTGTTTATCTCTACCTGCTTAAGAAGTCCTCTTTTTGCCCTTCTTATAAGAAAGAACCAGCAGAGGACTCTGATGCTGTAAGAGGAAAAAAGTCTTTCCCCAAACAATAATTGCAATCCAGGGTACAATGTTATGGTAGAATCAGACAGCTGTCTATTCCGACAAAATTAATAAACTAACCTCTAGATATATTTATATTTGTGACGGATGACAGAGTTCAGTTAACATCAGAAAAGCACTGCCTAGAACTGCAAGATCAAACAACTCCATCCAATCTCAACACATTAACAGCAGCAATGCAAAAACCAAAAAAATATTCTTGCTTGTTGTAGAATGGACTGTGATGTTATGTGATGGTCACATGACAAAATTAAAATAAACCAAACAATCTGCTAGGAGAAGGAAAGACATTAACAATGCATTTCCCATGAGACATTTAAAAAAAATTCTGTAATTCAAAATTTCACTTTGCATCGAGTTTAATATCTACAGACAACAGACACAGAAACTAACAAGTTCACAAGTAAAAGCGTACAGTGTCAGGGCCAAAGTTTGCAGCTGTATTATAGAGAAAAGTTCTTATATAGTATCTGTTTACTTACTCTCCAGGTCCTCCACAGTAGCAGTAACACTGCTGGACGTTGGTCTTATGACCTGCATCCCACTCAAGGTCTGTTGCATTATATGGTAATGTTTGTTTCATGACTTGCAGTGCTTTGGCATTTGGTCCTTTCTTAAGTGCACCACCCCTCTGGGCCAAAACAAATACATTAGTTCACAAAAACAGCAATATATTTCTGAAACTTTAAAATCCTTTAATTTATAAAAATTTATCTATAATCAAGTAAAATACTTTCACCTGTATTTATGTTTTAATATTAGCATATTTGTTTTAAAATAATTTGAAAGCCAGATGTAATCTATTTCTAAAATAAATATTCATTCTCAACATATCAAACTTCCATTCAGATCAAAATTAACAAAAAAGAAATCACTGAAAAAATTTTTCTTTTATTTTTTTGTTTCAACTTCAAAAACAAAGAAATGTTTTTCTAGAAACACACCTTTGTTGTTGTTGCAAAAACACACTGTCGACAGAGCCATTTATCATCTGAATCAATCACGCTGGAATCAATATTTGGTGTGTGACACAGCTGATGATAACCTGTATAAAAATGATCAACCAAAGTGTTATGAAAATGGTATGGGAAGCTTACACAGAATTAACTATATATAATTTTAATGCAACTTTAAGGCATTATCCACCATTAAGTGTCAAAAATCTGATCAAAAATATTGGTAATGCATTCAAATGGTCTTTTAAATATTCTTAGTGGTAAAAATAAACTTTACTTACAAAACAGGTGTTAATCACTTTAACATGGATTATCACTATTTACCGAGCTGTTAATAGCCAGTAAGGGCTGTAAAATTTAAGATCAGTAGAGCAGTCACTCACAGCCAGGCAAATATCCTCCTTCATAAAACAAATCAAAACATATTTAAAAATGCAGTAAATAAAAAAAGTCTAGTTACCTTGCCCACATTTGTCACATATAACCATTTCATTTGGTGCTTCTGAATACTCTTCCTGACATATTGTACAGACCATTTCCCCACTTTCAGTGGCTCCTAGACAAAGATGAAAGTGTGATTTTCTCAGATTACATCTGCAGTTGAAATGGTGACCATGCCTATGGGTATTTTGTAATTTCAGTTACAGATCCATGCATCGTAGAAACATATTGTTACAGAGCCTAACTTCCTAACAAAAATAAATTCAGCCATTTTGTACAGACTGTGTTACAAATATTTATATCACTTATCACAGGCTATCAGATAGGCTATATATTGCCTGTTTAATATGCAGTCCATGGTTCCTTAATATCAACAATAAAAATTTAATACCTGAATAAAGAATGTAAATGAAGGCTAAAAAATATGTATAAACAAATCCTACGTGGACAACTGATAGATATGTTTTGTATTTACAGCAGTTGGCGCTTCTTTGTTTGAAAATATATGCACAATTTGGTGCATATCTTTTTGACAGGTCTGCCCAAAGTGCTTTAATATTAAACTCCAACACTGTTAGGAAATATGTTATTACTTCTTATACATATATATGCAAGCATACAAAAGCACACAGTAACAGCAGAGGTAAGAAGAAAGTTAGCTTGCAAACTGGAAACAAAACTACATCTTGCTTCAATTATTACCAGTGTAAAAATCTGAGTTAAAATACAAGTTACTTAATCTACATGTTATCATAGTCATGCACTAAGGCTTGATAGTTATGACAAATGAATCAATGATCATAAACTAGTACTATGCAGAAGCAGAACAGCAGTATTTTAAAAGCTTCTCAGAAATAAAGCAGTTGATTTTTCACTACTATGATACAAAGTTTCTCCTGTTAGCAGATAAAAGTGTTTAGTTGAAACATCATCAGCAAGAGCCAGATCAGATTTCTATTGCCTTTCTATGAGAAGGAAATTGTAATCGATTCTCAGAAGAAATTGTTACTGAAATTGTCATCCATGCTTCATTAGGATTAATTATCAAAATACTAGCTACTCCCCAAATATCTGAAAAATCAAAGCTAATATGTGTCTCATTTGATAACTGTACATTTCTTCATATCACATGAATACTCCCAAATCCGTAATGGTTTCTTATGTGCAACTGTTATGGTATTACTTTTAAATCTGTTACTTTTAAATGTGAAAACTCATTTTAAACCTAGGATTTTCTAGTCTTTGGTTTCTTTCCACATCATATTGTTTCAACTGAAAACAATAGGAGGACATAAACTTGGTGTAAATTAAGGCTTGGAGTTTTCTGTTAAGACTGAGTATTATACTTTATCCCTATCCAAATAAACTCAAATGTGATTATTCTTAGAAGTGTTCTCCCCTCCCTGCACATAGTTATGTGAAAACAAAAATCAAAATAAAGAAATAACTGCAATGATAAGGAGTTGTTTGAAATTTTTTTTTTTTCCTCATTTGCCCAATTCATAATCCTGAGTCACATTAAACTATATCACTCTTTAGGATACAATAATGTCATGTAAAAATTTATTTTAACAGATATAGTAATCTAAACAAATAAAATACCAAACAATGACCACTTCACTGAAGTTCTTGCCTGTTTGTATGTCCTTCCAGAGAACCCAGGATTTGGAACTGTCTTCAAATATAATGAAGCAGTTCTGTTTCAGTTTGTTTATCTGAAAAACAAAGATACAGTGAAAGTCATGAGTAAAAAGACCAAACAGAAGAATGTATTTAATACTAAGTGAGACAATAATACTGTAATATTTAACCAACATATGATACCGTAAGACTCCAGTGAAGTTAAAGAATTGTTTACCTTTTTGATAGTTCCAAGATAAAACAATCCATCTGACCATCTAGCTAGGACATCCTGACCTTCTTCAAATTTACACAGTGGCTTTTTGGCTTTCTGTCCATCACGTAACGACAGCTTGGTCAGAGATGCTGAGGTCTTATGGCTTCGACGTAAAGGAGACCGCTTATGGACCAATGAATTACCCACTGCTGTAGAGTCTCTAAAGAAAGGGAAGCAGGAGAAAAGGCAATCAAAATAAGTTTTCCTCTCTGTTAGAATCAAAGAGGAAAAGAATAAGGAAAGGAAAACAAAAGATCTCACAATCTTTCTTCACACATGAAACTCATAAGTTACTTGAATCAATAATCGTTTTTTCCTCATACAATCCCACAATACATAGCCTATTTATATGTAAGTGTGAATATGCTTTTATGTTAGACTAGCTATCAAACACTACACTCTGAGTAAAGGAGTAAAATATAGAAAATTATAAAATAGGACCAGATAAAGCACAAGGAAGAATCTTCATAAATGATAGAGAGAATTTGAGACTATAAAACAAAGTTGCCACTCCTATATCCAAATGTATTTTCCCTTTAGAAACTAAATGTATATACAACTGTGACACAAACACAAGGACAGATCAGGAAGTAAAATAGGACACAGTCAATTGAAAGAGCAAAGTTTCACCTCACTGACGATAGCTTAGATACATTATCAGCACCAGAAACATCTGAACTAATCACAAAGCACCAATAAACCAGTAAATGAATCAGTGTCCTATATAGTTGGATGAAAATTACTATTCAGATGTTAGAGAAGTTCAAGTTTCAAAAAGAAAAGAATTGCTTCTCCGTAAAGTTTAAAATTTATGTTCAATATGAAAATAAAACCAGAATTATAATGGCTTAAAGCAAAAAAATATACAAAAATGCAAAAGTTAATATTCTAGATGGCAATCAACAATTTTTTTTCGTACTAAATAGTTTAAATGACAGAGGTTAGACACAAGAAAATTAGACAGTTGCTTTCTCTAGGTCTCCTACAGTCTGTGGATCCAAAGATTTCAAGTAGTAATGTCTTCATTTTTTTTATTTTTGTTTTTAGTCTGTAATGGAATTTTCTTCTTTAAGTTTTCCTACACGTTTTGTTGAATCTGTGAAGCAGCACTTCTTTTGGCTTGTTTCAGAGCCGGCACTTTGTCACTTCATTTGACACCCTTCATCATTACATCAGAAAACTAAGCCATTATTTTCCATTATTTCCCTCCATGCCCCAGTAACAGCGTTTAGACCCACCCAGCCATATTTCCCAGATAAAGAATCCTACCAACCCTGCCGGTTCTCACATGAAGGCTGTTTAAAGTTACTGCTGCTTTTCCCTAGTTCTACTCTTACCTCTGATAAACAGGACGGGATGCACACAGCATTCCAAATAAGTTTACAGTAACAATATTATCGCATGGCAGCTCAGGCCATTTTTTATTCTTTGCTCCTTTCCAAGTAATAACGCTTGCAGCTTTGCCCCACCACCACTGCAATGAGGTACTGAGCTGGAAATTTCAAAGTATGGTTAGAAACTGCAGGTTCCCATTCTACCTGCCCCCAGACTCCTGTTTCTCTTCCCACTGTGCATTACTTCTGTTAGCACTGGATTTGATTTGCCACTTCATTAATGAGCCACTCGGTAGCTTGAAACCCTTCCACTTCCTACATTATTCCTACATCTGAATAACCTCCTACCCTTAGAACATTTAATAATTTAAAACTTATCTTTTGTACATCACTGGAAATTTTTGCCCCTTATCTTGTACAGTAGCTTAAATTTTTGCAAGGGCCTCTGAAACAGGGCCCCAGCCCTTGACACTTCTTATAACCACATTCTAGTCTCTCCTTTATCTAGACAACCATTTACACATCCAAGTACCAAACAGGCTCAGAAATAAATGTGTCTGAAGTCAGCCAGTCCAGAGGAAAAAAAGGGTTTTACCAGAAGATTCCCCAAGCCCTTCTGGCTACACACACATCCAACTTAGCACAAGCAAGCAATGTACAAAGGCTAGGCAAGGCTTGATCAAAAGAGCCTAGAAATAGTTGTGAAACTATAACCTGGCCTCAGTCAATAATTCTTTTCTGGGAAAGGACTCGTCATTACAAAGTATTAAAGTATTTAGATTTCAAATTAAACCTGTGAACTTGATTTAGCACATTAAATGGGTCAATAAGCTTCAATGTGTAGTTTGAAGCACGTAAAGCAAATTCAATAGTGCACCTTGAAACAGTTTAACAAGTGTTTTGACAGCACTACTCTCTTCTAGAGGTTCCAAGATTTTCTTTCCATCTTTTCATTTGGTTTGATTTAAGAGACACTAGAAAGCAGCTAAAAGGCAAAAATGTTGGCTCTTCTTTTCCAGTACTTGAAAAAAGGTGTGCAAGATCTTGTACAGAAAAAACAGATGCAATATATACAATAAACGTATATTTATTATACATAATCTAGTACAGATTTCCATTTAAAAATCAACAACTATTTTTATTAGTTTTATAAATTAAGAAGTCTTCAAAAGCCTATTACATTGTTTTAAGTACCGAAGTTTGTCTCATAACTCAATTTAAATTATAGCAAAAATATGTTGTGCATCATTTTCTGGCACAAAGCATTTAAACGAGTCTATAAATTGACTTATACAACAGCCTTAATTCACAATAGCTACTTCAGACACTGAAGGATCTTGACACACAGTAAAGGTCTGAGCCAATAAAGCAGACACTTCTCCATTGTCCACATTGGTCTCTTTGTGGGAGATAGCACCGCTGAAGTGATGACTAAACAGCTCATGAAGTGGCTCCTGCTGTGGCAGTTTATGGTTTATCTAACACACAGACTGAAAATAGGGCTAGTTATCACAATAGGCTGATGCTTGGAGCTAGCTTAACAGTTGCTTTCCACATGGATAAGAAGTTCCTCTTCAGAGAAACATTCCCTTAATGTTTTTGATGAAGATTAAGTGGGAAGAGCTATTGTTTTAACAAGTTGACTTTAATTAGCAAGCCCTAAGTTACTTAAAGAAGGTCTCTCTGAAGTGCCTTCTGGCAACACTGCACAAGAAATCACACGAAATCCAATGCAGACCAGAGTAAGCTACATGCGTAAAATGTTAATAACATTTAATAAATTACTTTATAATGCACTGCAGCAGCAGGAGATACCTGGCATTCTTTGTCAACAAGAATAGCAAACCCCCTCTGAAGGTAAGCTACCTCAATCAGTCCTGATTTGTGAAGGTTTACTATGCATAGCACTGTATTTATCAAAATTAGATTTCTTAGTTTTAACTTGTAACTCTTTCTAACTTCTATATTAGAGGTTAGAAAATTTAATTGTTCATTTGGTGCCTTTGACTCCTGTATCTCCACAGCAATACTACAGAAGGAAGAAGCAGAAAAGTTAGGAAAAAGATGTGAGGAGGCTGGAGAATTAAAAAGACCGAACACTCTTCCTCTTGTTGCCAAGTGTCGTCTTCCTCAGCAGTACTGCCAGGTTAAGGTCATACTCCTGCACTCCTTCAGTTGTAACAACCGCTGTCAAATACTCCTGGTAAGAAAAACTCCCTTGACAGTTATTTTTTCAGCCATCTCATTTCACTGATGTTTCACCGAATGGTTTGTCACACAACAGAACAAATGCAAACAAGCAACTTGGGATACAAACTCCCTCAACTGGCACTGCCGGACTGCATGACTGAACTAGAGACAGTTTCATTGACAATTTCAAGGGCCCAAGATTCACAAATACTGCAACACTAACAGATGACAGCTACCCTATGAGTACAAATAGGTTTTGGAAATGAATTTAAATGTACTAAATTTTAACGACTAAGTGCCCAAAGCATATTAAGAGAAAATTCTGATCCACTGAGACAACATGCAAAAGCAGGACCTACAGATAATTCATTTATTCCCAGTAAATACAAATCACTCTGAAGGGAAGATGAGCTTAGAGAGCCCAACAGATTTAGCAGAAAGTAATTCACACTAGAAATCACACACAGAGCATCCTACTAAGACAACTCACACAGGTTTAGGATTTCTCTCAAAACTGGAAAATGTGGTATCATATAGGAGAGGAAGATCTAGTGAAAGAACTTACAATAGCCAGAGACAATCAGTTTAAGCTCTGAAAGTGTGATGTTACTGCTGATTAATCACAACTGTTGTGTTTGAAATTACAAACTATGTTTTTATTTAACTTCAAAGAAAACTGAACTATGAAGAAGTGTTGTAAAATACCAGCAGTCTGTTCTGCTCTCCTTAAAACAGGACAGTTACCATCTCACAGAGAATGGGGTGGCTGGGGACAGGGGTGGAGGTCTAGCAAGGGCTCAGAACACACAAAACTGAGGGTAGTTTCACACATGGCTTATCCAATACTGCAGCTTGCTCCCCTCCCACGAGCTCTAGAATGACAAGCTGACTTCTCCATAAGCTTTCTATTCAGTTTCCTTTCCCTTATTATGGATTAATTTTCTGATATTTTAAACAAATCAAAGCACCTCACAGAAAAGGCTGGTGACTAGACAAGCCAGGTAAGCATAAAGCACTCACAGCCAAAAGGCAGCAGAAAAGGGAAATGAGTCTTTCCTGAGAGCCACAATCTAGCTGGTTTACCCAGCACTGTATAACCAAGCCCAAGCCATGCTGCCAACATAGCTGCTAACCTGTGACTGGGATCCAGTACCCCTGCAGCTGCAGGAGAGAGGCTGGATCCCAGGCCACATGTTTCTTCCCATCTTCCTTGCATCTTCTCTGCCATTTATGAGACCTCATGCCAAACATTCTGTTCACTGTGTCAACACACCTTCCTTCTCCAAAAAAAAAAAAAGGATTCTGCTGGGCCAAGATAGCAGACAGACTTAACAGGTTACTTCCTCAGCCTCAACCAGGCCCAAACTTCAGATCAATCTGATTAAAAAAAGCAGTAATTTCACTTTGCTTTTCATAATGGCAACTTTGTTGTAACAGTCACCGTTCCAATTATACATGAACAGGCTATTTTATTAGTAAATTGCCATTAATTTATTTCAAGCGCAGGATCCAGTACAAATCTAGATTTTAATCTATCATTTTACAATACTTCATGTAGCCAAACGAACATTGAGCTTATAACATGTCATGTCATAGAACAGCTGCAAGATATACTTTGAGCTCCTTATCTTA